CCCTAAAGGTTACATAATGTGGCTTGTATCCAGAAAACAAGGGCACCCTCACACCCTGCAGGCCACCGTACCTCATTATCTCGTTTCTTAGAGAGAAACGCTTCAGTGTTCATGGCTCTGTTTACGCACCCTCTGATGACACGTTAATGTGACCACAACGCACTCAAACACAGCATGTGCTTCACTTCTGTTTCCCACATTCCTCTCTCCCAGAAAATACATTTTTTTGACTGACTATATGGTCCTGATGGGAGCAAGTGAATGAATAAACTCTAAAAGTCAATGCACACTGGAAGGCTAGTTCAAATAAGTTCAAATGTATATGTGTCGCTCTTTCCAAACCAATACAAAACTGTAAAAAACAAAGATAAACCGTCACAAAAAAGGTCAAGAAGGAGCTTTAACACTCATAAGTATATATTCTCTGTTCCTAACACAGTTTACTTTAAAGTGCTAACATTTATAAGACAGCTATATCTTTAACCAGGTTTATTTAATGCACAAAATCCTAATGTTGACATCTTTATTCAGGTGTTAGTAGTTTGTCTAACCTACTCTACAACTGAACATATCAAATATGTAACCGTCTACTGATGTATTAAATCAAAGCATGCAATAAGAGAACCCAGCAATTCCATTAATAGGATCATATTTGCATTTATATTGGTTTTATGCACAAGCTTTACTCAGCAACAGAGGTTTAGGACAAATTAAAACAACACTGCAATCAAAAAAACATGTTTTGCAAAAAGGCTCTTCTTGAATCTAGCCTCTTAATTTTATTTTCACTATCGAAAGTTAATACATTTAGTGTTAATTTAACTTCCAGGGGAGCAGGCCTTTGGAACCCCTTCATCTTAATACAGTCTGATATATAGAGCAATATAAGGTGGAAGAGTCTTATTCATCATGATTAAAGGATCTGTGTTGCAGAGAATGACACTTTCATACCTCCTTACGCACCCCTACGTTTAACTTTAACCAGGTGCCTTATTGTGAAGTGTAATAATAATTAATTGCTATTAATCGAGATATTTGGCTCACATTATGTTGTAATAATAATAATACATAATATTCATATAGTGCTTTTCCCAGTGCTCAGAGACACTTTACATACAATCAGTTCAGAGAAACAAAACAGTCCAAATTCAAGTGGAAGCTAAATGTGGTTGGAGCGTCTGGCAGCAGAGTTTTGGACATATTGTAGTTCTTTGAGTCCGTATGCAGGTGTTTGTAAGCAGGTGTCGTTTAAAGTATATTCTTTAAAAAAGGTCTTACACTATTATTGTTTAAAGGATATGAGAATAATCTGAGTAATAACTGATGCCTCTCTGCAGGTGATCTGGTGTCTCGGGCGATGCACCATCTGCAGCGTCTGCGTAGCTCGAGCCCCGCCCACAGCCCCGCTCTCTCAGCCAATCAGACGTCAGTATCCTGGGCTGCAGACGCCCTCCGCACACTTTACTACTTCCTGTCCGGCCCACAGATGGAGTCTCTGGAAAACCCCAATCTGGAGCCTCCCACCATGACACTGAGCAGAGAGAGGTGTGTGTGTGTGTGTGTGTGTGTGTGTGTGTGTGTGTGTGTGTGTGTGTGTGTGTGTGTGTGTGTGTGTGTGTGTGTGTGTGGGTGAGTGGGTGTGTGAGTGAGTGAGTGAGTGAGAGAGAGAGAGAGAGAGAGAGAAGAGAGAGAGAGAGAGAGAGAGAGTGAGAGGAGAGAGAGAGAGAGAGAGAGAGAGAGAGAGAGAGAGAGAGAGAGAGAGAGAGAGAGTGTGTGTGTGTCTCTAAACTCACACACAGGTTGTTCTACAGGTTGTTCTTGATAGCAAGCTTTTCTTTGTTAATATCAGAGGTTCGTTTTTATTGGACTTTATTGGACTAAAAATCATTTTTGATAGATAACACAGTTTTGGATGTATACTGACGTTGTGTTTCCCTCAGGCCGTTCCTGCTCCTCCCGCCTCTGATGGAGTGGATTCGAGTCGCCGTGGTTCACGCTGAGCATCGACGCAGCCGATTGGTCGACAGCGATGATGTCAGACAAACGGCCAGACTGCTGCTGCCGGGACTCGACTGCGAGGCTCGACAGCTGAAGTAAGAAACCAAAATCACTTACATGTGTTTATTTTGAGGCAGTTTGAAGTGACGTGATACCGCTCTGCTTAGCTTTTGATGACTCACTATGTTATAATTTTCTAAGATTTTTCTGCTCATTTTCAGGTTCGTATCAGTATTTAGTGTCTCTACTGTCACATGTCTCCATGCTTTAATGTTCAAAGAGCCCAGTCTGCTCTGATTGGTTAGCTGGCCGGCTGTGTTGTGATGAATTTTCTATGGCATACTATACTTTTTGGTGACTACTACTGTATACTATGACTTTCTTTTATGACTCGCCACAAACATTTGTTACTCCTTGGGTTTCAGACTCTTTAATTGAAAGACACCAGGATCAGTTTCTGGAGTCCAGTAAAAGATGAATGTGTTTCTGTGATCCTCTGCAGGTCAGAGTGCTGTTTCCACTCCTTCAGAGGTCTGGATGCGGAAGCGGCTGCAGCTCAGTTCCAGGTTTCTCTGGGCTTCAGGATGCTCTCCTGCGGTCGAGCAGATCTGCTGCAGCCGGCCTCTCAGCTGCTGGGGAGGGGGGGGCTCGACACCATGGACGACCAGGTGAGGGGGAGGAATCAACCATTAAACTATTATTATTATTAATATTATTATTTACTCGGTCCATTTTGAAGACTCGATGTAATCACGGGAGGCAGGACAAACTGAGCTAGGGGTTATTGGAAGTGAATTACAGCAGTGAAACTCCTGCATTCATTCATAAATAATGCAAAATATAAGTAAGTTTCCGGAAAAGTAAAAATAGAAACATATAGAAACAAGCAACAGGTAAAACAAAATGTAAAATGCTGATTCTATGATGGTTCTGTGCAGGGTTTGACTCCTCTGATGTACGCCTCTGCAGCCGGAGACGAAGCTCTGGTTCAGATGCTCCTCGAGGCCGGAGCTCACCTGGACCTGCAGGTAAAAACCGCTGGTGTGACACGACGGAAGTGTGTGTGTGTGTGTGTGTGTGTGTGTGTGTGTGTGTGTGTGTGTGTGTGTGTGTGTGTGTGTGTGTGTGTGTGTTTTCACCTCCAGACGCAGCCTCTGTGAAATCATTCCCACGTCGGCGGTGACGAAGACGACTCTGCGTATCCCGTCGTCGATGATGAAGGCTCTGCTGTACAGGCGGGTGTGAATCCCTGCAGCCGTCTGCTGAGGGACCGCATAACCCATCTACACACACACACACACACACACACACACACACACACACACACACACACACACGCACACGCACACACACACCACACGCACACACACACACATTTTTCAATAATCTCTAAGGAAATACAATTTGACATCCTCTTGGTTACGCTTCGCCCCACCCCCGTATGCTAGCCAATAACATGATAGACAGTTAACTAAGAAATAAGAAATGAATTAAAATGAACATATATACATATTAGATCTTTTTACATGTATGTTTGAAAACAGTGTGTATTTTATGTCCAGCATTCACACCGCAATTTCTTCAAGACTTTGATTCTCTAGTTAAAAATACTCTTTGCCTCCACCCCTCATCTCTCTTGTGACCTACGTTTCTCATTGCCATGTCTACACCGTAGCTAATGGGCAAATATATATATATATATATAATCAATACATATATGCCGTTAATAACTGTGTAATGTATACCTGGCTGCTAAACCCTTGATCCTGTCACAAGGTATGTATCTTGTAATTTGTAGATTGTGTAACTTGCTATTAAATACCGTCAAACTATGTGCAATATATACTTTATATACATATGCCATCTTTGATAACTGTAATATATACAGGGCTGCTAAATCCTAAGAACTGCTACAGGATTTGATTTGTTTTTGATCTGTATTTTTGAAAATTATGTAACTTTTTTAGTTTTTATCTTTTTTTGCATATTGTTTATTATATTATAACTTAGTACTTTTTTAACGCATGTAAGATATGCAACANCCAGATTTCAAAACGGAACACCTTCGAGATTATTTCAATTTCATTTGGGAAACACCTTTTGGAACGATTGTATATTTACTAGAGGGTGCTACAATGGTGCGACTTGTTGAACAATATCATACTACGTCCTAAAATCATCTTTGGGACTGTTTACTGTGTTGAGTATTAACGATATCAAGCAGTTCATTTCTGTGACTGGGTTCAGGACAACATGGTTGCAAGTTTTTGCCGAAAATTCTCCACTTTACATGAAGTTGGCGGACTCGCCAGTTGGGGCCAGTTTCAGTAAAAAACTCATTGAAAGCTATTGCAACATCCTGTTCATTTAAAGGGTTAAATAATGTTAATAAAGTTGTTGAATCTTCCGAAAATCAGACGTATTTAAACAATCTTATTGTTCTGCCTCTAAAGTTGAGTTTAGTTTTATAGATGCTATCTTGACAGTCTTCTAATTGACACCAATCCTTGTATCGACTTGTTTACAGTGTTATTATTTACTTCTGTTTTCATTTCATGACTTTTGTGTCTTTATTATTTTCTTCAATTTTGTTCCACTTTTTTAAATCTAATGACTCTATCATTTTATTAACCTTTAAATATATTTTATTTTATACACATTGTTATCTGGAAGCCTGTTGAGTTGTATTGTTTTATTCATTCTGCGTCTTCCCCGCTGCAGGTTCTAAAGAAAAGACAGACGTGAGCCTTCAGAGTGTAGTGGTGTGGTGTGTGTGTGTGTGTGTTGTGTGTGTTGTGAGGAGAATGTTCGGGGACTCCTCTGGGTCAGCAGGTGTGTGTGTGTGTGGTGTGTGTGGTGTGTGGTGTGTGTGTGTTGAGGAATGTTCGGGGTACTCCTCTGGTCCAGCAGTGTGTGTGTGTTGGTGAGGACAGAGCGCCTCCAGAGACAGGAGTGTGTGGTGATCATGGTCCTCTGTCTGAATAATAAGGAGTCCAACAAGCCGTGTAGTGACAGAGAGAGAATACACCAGGACGTATACAGAATGCTGTGATAGAAACCAAGGAGAGTTGGAACATTGAACAATGGAATCCTATTCTTAGTAGACTACACGATGGGAATGCTTATGATCAGTTTAGAAATGGCCATGACATGGGACCTTTAGTATTTATGTTATTCTAAGATAGATATGGTTTATTATCTCTTTCTTACTCTGATATGTTTAGAGCTAAATTATTAAAGTGAACTCATGAAGGTTTACAGGAGGCTGGGTTCAATTAGGGTTGTCATATGAGTATTAACTAGTGTATTGAAGAGTACTCAGGTGAGGTACCTCAGAACAGAGCTGTGTTCCCTCAGTACATTCGGTCTGGTCCTCAGTGTGGTCTGTCAGCTGTGTTCCTCAGTACAGTCTGTCAGCTGTGTTCCCTCAGCACGTCTGTCAGGCTGTGATCCTCAGTACTGGTTGTCAGGCTGTCGTTCCCTCAGTATGGTGCTTCAGGCTGTGTTACCCTAAGTACAGTCTGTCAGGCTGTGCTTCCCTCGGTGTGGTCTGTCAGGCTGTACTTCCCTCAGTATGTCTGTCAGGCTGTGTTTCCTCAGCACGGTTTTTCTGTCAGGGTTGTGAATCCCTCAGTACGGTTCTGTCAGACTGTGGTCTCTGCACGATACTCTGTTAGAGTCGTAGAGAGTTGTATTGAAGCTGACGCATCTTGTAATTAATTTAGCGAGGGAGGTTAACAAGGCTCTTCTGAGTCGCGCACTCTCCGTCAGGCTCTTTTAGTGAAGGGGCTGGGACCGTTAACGTAGAGGAAACTGACAATAATAACAATAAAATCTAATATATAACTCTTATGCTAAAGAAAGTGTGATGTTTAATTAACCTGTTAAGCCCCATAAGCCATGTCAGCCGGGGGTTATACACGAGAAAACATAGAAACAATTGATAATAAGCATCCTTTAAAGTCAGAGGGCTCATCAGCTGGGGAGTGTGGTCTCCCCCTGGCTGGACAAACTGCGCCAACACACAACCAAACAATTTACGATTCAATATGAAATTGAAAATACTTCAATGGAAATTGAAGATTAAAAACAGACTTTTAATTAATATTAAATAATAAGAATCCACTTTATGGATGTAATAAGAAATAGTAGAAACCAAAATCAGCTGATCGGCAGCGACACGATGTCATCGAAAGCCCAATTAATCTGTGTGGTGTGTGGTCTGTGTGTGTTCTGTGTCCAGTGTGTTGTGTGTGTCAGTGTTGTGTGGTCAATGTGTGCGTGTGTGTGTGTCTGTGTCAGTGTGTGTGTCGTGGTGTACCAGTGTGGTGTGTGTGTGTCAGTGTGTTGTCTGTGTGTGTGTCAGTGTGTGGTCGTGGTGTAGTGTGTTGTCGTCTGTGTGTCAGGTGGTGTGTGTGTCAGTGTCGGTGTGTGTGGTCGGTGTGTGTGTCCGTGTGTTGTGTCCAGGTGTGTTGTGGTGTCAGTGTGTGTGTCAGTGTGTGTGCGTTGTCAGTGTTGTGTGTCGGGTGTGTCAGTGTGTGTGTGTGTGTATTGTGTGTCAGGTGTGTGGGTGGTGTGGTGTGTGGTGTGTTTGTCCAGTGGTCAGTGTGGTGTGCCATGTGTGTGTCGTGTGTTGGTTGTGTGTGTGTGTTTGTGTGCCGGTGTGTGTGTGTGTGTGTGTGGTGTGTGGTGTCAGTGTCTGTTGTGTGTGTGTCAGTGTGGTGTCAGTGTGTCTAGTGGGGTGTGTCTGTGTGTCATGTGTGTGTGTCGGTGTGTCAGTGGTGTGTGTGTGTGTCAGTGTGTGTGTCAGGTGTGTGTGTCGGTGGTTCCAGTGTGTGTGTCGGTGTGTGTGTGTATGTGTGTGTCAGTGTGTGTGGTTTGTGTGTGTGTGTGTGTGTCAGTGTGTGTGTGTGTGTTGTGTTGTGTGTGTGTGGTGTGTGTGTGTGTCAGTGTGGTGTCAGTGTGTGTGTCGGTGTGTGTTGTGTGTTCGTGTGTGTGTCTGTGTGTTCAGTGTGTGTGTGTTGTGTGTGTGGTCAGTGTGGTGTGTTGTGTCAGTGTGTGTGTCTGTGTTTTGTCAGTGTGTGTGTCAGTGTGTGGTCAGTGTGTGTGTCAGTGGTGGGGTGTGGGTGTGTGTGTGTCAGTTGTGTGTGTGTGTGTGTCAGTGTGTGTGTCTGTGTGTTGTCATGTGTGTGTCAGTGTGTGTGTCAGTGTCAGTGTGTGTGTCAGTGTTCCCAGTGTGTGGTGCGGTGTGTCAGTGTGTGTTGTGTGTGTGCAGTGTGTGTGTGAGTGTGTGTGTCGGTGTGTCAGTGTTGCGTCAGTGTGTATGTGTCAGTTGTGTGTCAGGGTGTGGTCGGTGTGTCAAGTTAGTGTGTGTGTTCAGTGTGTGTGTGTCAGTGGGTGTGTGTGTGTCAGTGGTGTGTGTCGTGTGTGTCAGTGTGTGTTCGGCGGTGTGTAATCTGGGACAGTCCTCAGCAGCAGCTGACTTGGGGAACGAGGCTCCTACAAAATAAAGTGTTACATAAACATCAATATGATTGAATAACTAACAAACATTAAAAACTATAAATATTAGACTTTTATTTTGAAAGGACACACAAAAAGGAGTGATGCTGGTGATGCTAGCAGCCGGCTAGCAAAGTTCAATGGCATTTATCATGTGTGTTAGCAACAAGCTAACTGCTGAAATTATGCGTTCAGGGCATGTCGGATAACAAAATCGAATGATTTAAAATCAGCATCAAATATTTACTCCTCGGTTCAAAGGTACAAATAGTTAGTTATAAAATGTTTTACATCACCTGAAGGCATCGTCTCTCCCTGTCACACGCCTGAGGCCTGTACTACGAAGCAGGATGTTCTCTTAGCCGGCTAACTTCAGGGTAAACTCTGGGTTTCCGGTCCTACGAAACTGGTTCTCTTTTTTGCGGGCTAGATCTCCATGGTAACTGATGCTGAATGGCTAACCTGCCCCGGAGCAGGTTAGGTTGCAGGCTAAGAGCTCAACTCAGTGAAAGCACTGCCTGCTGACCAATCAGAGCTCAGTGTGCGGAGTTTAAAGCGATCAATTCATATTACAGGAGAAAGGAAATACAGAAAAACTGCCTTGTTACTTGTTGAAAATCCTTGTTACTGTCACAAGGTATGTATCTTGTAATTTGTAGATTGTGTAACTTGCTGTTAAATACCATCAAACTATGTGCAATATATACTTTATATACATATGCATCTTTAATAACTGTAATATATACCGGGCTGCTAAATCCTAAGAACTGCTACAGGATTTGATTTTTAGATTTGATTTGTTTTTGATCTGTATTTTTGAAAATTATGTAACCTTTTTAGTTTTTATCTTTTTTAGCATATTGTTTATTATATTATAACTTAGTACTTTTTTAACGCATGTAAGATATGCAACACTAAGCTGTCTGTGGCTCTTTCTGCTGTAACGCTGCACATTTCCCCTTTGTGGGACTAATAAAGGTATTCTGAAGTTGAGGAAACACTCGAGTCAAATGTAATGAAAGTCAGATGGTGTCTTAGACGGGACAGTGATATCATAAACCTGTTAATGTACGCATTCAAACACTTGTTCTGTTACCAGCTGTATTCACCTTGCAGGTGCAGCTATGTGGCTTTGATCCTGGATAAAGTGTTTAAGTCATGGATGTTTAAAGTTTAACTTCTTCATATGTCTAATATTATAGTAGACTTTTCATTCAGGAAGTATGACGCTGCGCTGTCAGTACGCTTCTCCATGTTTGTGATTGGTCGAATGCTCCAGATACCACCCCTTTCCTGTGAACGCGCTCCTAACTAGATAGGACACGGCTGGCTTGAGCGATCCACTTGATAACCAGCGTCAAAGGACCGCTTAGCGAGAGCGCGTATGTTTTGGATTAGGCCAACCGGCTAACTCAAACATATCCAGGTTAGGTTGAACCAGCTTCGTAGTACAGGCCTCTGGTACACTTACAACAACAACAACAACAGTTTTATTGTTGTTAATATCAACACTTTGGGTAATACAGGCTTTTATTTTGGTGGGTTTAAAAAGGAACTAACAGGAAGTGCAAACAGCAGTTACCACGACAACCTGAAGCTAACAGGCCAATTAAAGTTGGCAGTTAGCTGAGGAGCTAATGCTAATGGCTTCAATCAAAAAGTTTCACTGAGGGAGATGTGGGCAGGGACAGCAGGAGGTGTGCTGGTTAATGATTGGCTGGTTTAACACTAACTTTATAAAGTGCAGACAGGTAACACACACACACACACACACACACACACACACACACACACACACACAGGTCTGTAAGATGGTCTGTATGTTGGTCTAAAGTGCAGTTTCCTGGTTTCCCTGAACCAATCAGTGAGGAGCTCCTGCAGGTACGGGCGGGGCAAGGCTGTGATCTGATTGTTTGATTTGGCCTATGATGGTGGTGAGAGACAGTTCTTATGTTTTGATAATTTACTCGTCAGGCCTTGAACGCCTCGCAGGTCTTTGGGGTCAAATAAAGCCCTGATTGAGGACTGGTGAAGGTCTGGAGGTCTCTGGAGGACTCTTGACCCCCTGCTGGTCCCTGGTGAAGTTCTGGAGGACTCTGGACCCCCTGCACGTCCCTAGTGACGGTCTGGAGGACTCTGGACCCCCTGCTCATCCCTAGTGAAGGTCTGGAGGACTCTGGACCCTCTGCTGGTCCCTGGTGAAGGTCTGGAGGTCTCTGGAGGACTCTAAACCCCCTGCTGGTCCCTGGTGAAGTTCTGGAGGACTCTGGACCCCCTGCTCGTCCTCAGTGAAGGTCTGGAGGACTCTGGACCCCCTGCTCGTCCCTGGTGAAGGTCTGTAGGACTCTGGAGGACTCTGGACCCCCTGCTGGTCCCTGGTGAAGGTCTGGAGGACTCTGGAGGGCTCTGGACCCCCTGCTGGTCCCTGGTGAAGAGAACCAGATGATCCGGGTCAGGTTCTGATGGGCAGCGGGTTCCTTGGAAAACCAGATGATCCGGGTCAGGTTCTGATGGGCAGCGGGTCTCTAACCGGGGGTGGAGACGTGGAACTCTTTCAAAGTCTTTCAGAAAGACTTAAGGTAATTCAGTGAGGGCGGCTAAAGTGCTAAAGAGCTAACGTGCTATAGAGCTAACGTGCTATAGAGCTAACGTGTTAAAGTGTCTGGTGGTAGAGCGAGGATCTGCGGTGGGTTCCTCAGAGGTTCTCAAAGGGTTCTCAGTGGGTCCTCTGGCCCTCGTTGGGTGTGATAATAAACCCAGTTCTCACCAGTAGGGGGCGCTGGTCTCCACGCTGCCACAGCTCTGCCAGAGGAAGACCCCCACAGAGGTTCTGGGGCTGCCGAACGGGTCAATCTGGTCCCGCTGTTTCTGGTTCTGGATCTGCATCCCGGGGTTCTCCGTCTCCCGGTTCTCCCCGGGACTCGGGTCCACCAGCCGGTAGTTGTTCCCCTGGTTGTTGTCCCAGAAGGTTCCCTCTGGAGTCTGGTACTGGACGCAGAACTCGACACGGTCTTCGGGGTGCAGAACCTCCGGTACGCAGATGCAGAAGGAGAAGGTGTTGGTGTCGGGGGAACCGTACACCTGGTTCAGGTACGAACACGGAACGTCCTGGAAGCAGCGCCAAGAGTCGAAGGTGATCCGGACCCACACGTTCTTCTGGAAGCAGAGGTTCTGCACCTGAACGGTTCCCGAGAGCAGGCGCTCCTGCAGAGAACACGTCTCCAGAGCCACCTGCTGGGCCTTCAGACGGTTCCTCAGGTCCAGATAGTCTTCTGCCGGCGGGGTGAAGTCCAGAACCAGAGCCGGAGAACCGTCTGCTGAGAGAGGAACATGAAACAGTCAAGATTCACTTCACTTATTCTAGAGGAGAAACACAACCGTGGTTCTGGAACGAGAATAATACAGGTCCTGGTTCTCACCTGTCCTGTCTCTCAGGTCCAGAGGGCTGTACTACGAAGCAGGATTTTCTCTTAGACTAACTTGACTAACTTCAGGTTAACTCTGGGTTTCCGGTCCTACGACGCTGGTTCACTTCTTACCGGGCTAGATCTCCATGGTAACTTTTGCTGAACGGCTAGCCTCAACTCAGTGAAAGCACCGCCTGCTGACCAATCAGAGCTCAGTGTGCGGAGTTTAAAGCGATCACGTCATATTACAGGAGAAAGGAAATACAGAAAAGCTGCCGTTGCAGAAAGACGGCCGGCAAAAATCACCGACTGTGTGAACGTGAACATTAATAGAATATCACCTCCCATCTTCAGAGCAATCTGACTATTAGAACATTAGAGTTAAGAAAGCTTACTTAAATATCTGCCACAACATAAGTAACCGGATCAGAGTAACATTAAGTACAGTCCGCGGCATATCACATCATAATGTATCATCTCCTTATCTGAGTCAGCTGAGCCGTATCTGGCCGTGCAACACTCACAGTGTCACATACTGTATGCAAAAGTATTATTTTATGCACCGAGTTGATAACCAGCGTCGTAGGACCGCTTAGCGAGAGCGCGTTTGTTTTGGGTTAGTTTGAACTGGATTCGTAGTACAGGCCTCTGTACTAAATCCAGTTCAAGAGACCCTGGATCTCTCAGAGTTATCTTACCTAACCCAAAACAAACGGTAAGTGGTGTTACGACGCTGGTTATCAACTCGGTAACTCAAGCCAGGGTTTCTCTGTCCGGCTGAGTGCGCGTTCACATGAAAGGGGCGGGGTTAACAACATTTGACCAATCACAAACATGGAGAAGCGTACTGACAGCGCAGCGTCATACTTCCTGAATGAAAAGTCAACTATAATATTAGACATATGAAGAAGTTAAACTTTAAACATCCATGACTTAAACACTTTATCCAGGATCAAAGCCACATAGCTGCACCTGCAAGGTGAATACAGCTGGTAACAGAACAAGTGTTTGAATGCGTACATTAACAGGTTTATGATATCACTGCCCCGTCTAAGACACCATCTGACTTTCATTACATTTTACTCCAGTGTTTCCTCAACTTAATGTGTTGCTTAAAATAATACTTCTGCATCCATGACAAACTGGAGTTGAGACCAGGAGGCGGAGTCGCAGTCTTACACGCTTCTCTGCGCTCTCTCCTAGGCAGTCATCCATAGGAATCCCGAACCCAATAAAATACCCAATATTAACGGTGTGCGTGTCTGCCCAAGGACAATTTAAGCTAAAACCTAATAGAGGTGTCATACATAATAACTTAATCAAAGTAAATGTAACAACTACTAAAGTGCAACAAAACAGGAAGATTAAATGTGGTCTCTTAAACATAAGATCTCTAGCATCTAAAGCAATATTGGTAAATGATTTAATATCAGATTATAATATTGATATATGCTGTCTCACTGAAACTTGGTTGAGACATGAAGAATATGTCAGCATAAATGAGGCCACTCCACCCAGCCATATCAATACTCATATTGCCCGAGGCACGGGCCGAGGAGGTGGAGTTGCAGCAATCTTTGACTCAAGTTTACTTATCAATACTAAACAAAAATTAAATTATACCTCCTTTGAAAGCCTCGTTTTTAGTCTTACGCATCCGACCTGGAAAACTTTGCAGCCAATCTTATTTGTTACAGTGTACCGTGCACCAGGTCCTTATTCAGAATTCTTATCAGAATTCTCTGAGTTTTTATCAACTTTGGTACTTAAAACAGATAAAGTAATTATCGTAGGTGACTTTAATATTCATGTTGACGATGATAAAAATAGCCTTACTGTTGCATTTAACTCTATATTAGATTCTGTTGGTTTCTGTCAGAGTGTAAATAAACCAACCCACTGCTATAATCACACTCTTGACCTTGTTCTGACTTATGGTATTGAAATTGAGCAACTATTAGTCGAACCGCATAATCCTGCTTTATCCGACCATTTCTTAGTAACTTTTGAAGTACTGTTACTAGACTACAAAGCATTAGCCTAAAGCTCCTGCAGCAGAAACCTATCTGTTAGTGCTATAGCCAAATTTAAGGAAGAGATTTCACCAATACTTAACTCGATAGCATGTCTGCATGTAAGGGAGGAAACTTATACAAAATGTACACCACCCCAAATTGATCATGTTGTTGATAGTGCTACAGATGCGCTGCGAATAA